AATTAGATTAGGAACAATTTAGCATATGAGTAAAGCTTGTATATACAGGGTGAACCAAAGGTCTTGCACTGATTATAAATAATTATTGCTCTCAAACTGTTATAATCATTCATATGTTTTTTTGGTTATATTGTAAGTATGAATTTTTTATTAGACCATTTACTTCAGTAAATTTCAACGTGTGGCCCCCTTGGAGAATGTTTAAGTGTAATCTAGCTCCCGCTAAGTGTTCTTTAACATGTCTTGTACTTAATAAGCACGCAACTTAATCCTTTTATGAAGAATTCTTACCAAAATTGTTTGCGATAAGTGAAGTTCACTTAATGCATCACAAGTTGGTTTAGTAGGACTCCGTTGAAACAATTGCTGAACGTGTTCAACAGTTGCTTCACTCACACTAGGCTTGCCACTTCTAGGGAGATTCTTAGCGCTATCTGTTTCCTTAAATATTCCATATCATTACTTCACTGATTTTACACCAGGTTTGCTTTCATAACCACATCGAAATTTATGCTGAACTTTAATGTGCGATTTCATTTTGTGAAATCAAAGCACACATAGGGCTTTTTCTTGAATCGTCACCATTTCGGCAAAAAAGGATATCTTCTTACAAATGTTCCCCTGAGTAACTTTTGAAGGAGAATTTGCGTCACTACTGCACAAAAAAAACTACTAAAACTGACCTATTCAATGATAAAAAAAATTACATTATTATATTGAAAGGTTGTTTTGTAATGATTTTTTTTATAATTGGACAAGACTTTTGGTTCAAACCTCAAGATTAATGAATTTTCTTCACATTTATTAATATGTATTTAACACCATAGTTTTCGATGTTATTCTTCACTTTTTAGTTTGATCAATTTAAAATTGAGCTTGAAATTTAATAAGAAAGAATGATGTGCTTGTATAGTGGAACATTAAGAAACCATTGTACTTCCAGCTTCTCAAAAATAAGAAGAAGCTCATATTGGTTATGCATTACCGACAAATAGCGCGAATTTAACTAAAGTACTTAAGAAAAGGAGACCAACACTAGTCAATGTTCTGTGTTTTTAACAGTTATCTACTTATAACGCATTAATCATTTTATTTTAAAAACAAAAATTGCAATGGAAAATAACAGTCCTCTTCAACATTTCTGAAAAGTATATTTATTTTTAAAAAAAAGTTGACTAACAGAATATTATAGTTTGGACAAATTCATGTGAATTCTTCCCATTTCAAAAATTCTGGGTTAAAGTAATTCCAAATATCAAGAGTACGTGATTAAAACTTAGCTGATTAAATTATTATAAACTATTTTATTTTTTTCTTCTTCCTACTACTAAATTTCGTATTTCAAGGATATAGAGAAATTATTGTTCCCTTGCTATCCTTTAAAAGTATATATTTGCGTGTACATACACATATATACTTAATTTATTCACCACACTTTATTAAAATAAATCTGTATTGTTTCATTTTTCTACATAATTGAAATGAATGGAATTATAGAATACGAAATATTGCTAATAATTTAAACAGAATATTAGTCAATTTATTATCTCTAGAGTGCAGATAGTTTGTAAAAAAAGATAAAACATTACTTTCTCTTCAATTTTAGCCCAGAATCTCATTATTGAAAAACATCATTTCTCTTTCTTTTTATTCTAAACAATAATTTGTTGGATTTATAACAGAAAAAGCTAAATATAAAGTACCTTTATTTATAAGAATAGAAAAAATAATTTAAAATAATTTTACTTTCATATTAATTAATCCTTTGAGCAGAAATATAATTACATAATTTTCATATTACGATTATATTATTACCTTTTACAATGGGTGGTTATATAAGTATAACTAAAATAATTTTAAATTCTTTAAAACCTATTTATACTTACCAAAATCTCTTAGTAATAACTCCCGAGTATCTTTCTCCTTTTTCAAACCAAGCTTATAGATACAGTTTTATTTACATTTAGAAATGTAACTTTCTTAAATATTTACGATATCTCAAGAGTGCTCTCGATTATAATAAAGAACTCTTTTCATGAAATGCTTAGCTTGAAATACGGTAAGTGCGAGTAAAAGAAAACTTCAAATAAACGATAGTATATGGTTAAAATACGAAACAAATAAAACAGGGTAAGATAGATGTTAAGGAAATTTAATCTTGTAGTTTTCTTAGCAATTTTTCATACTTAACAAAACAGAAGATGTTTTTCCAAATAATGATATGAAACTTAAGTAAAACTTTTTTTAATGTTTTGTATGAAAAATTTTGAGTAAAAATATTAGATATTTTTAAATGTTAAGGGACATTTTTGCACCTTATTTCTGAAATATTTTCATATGAAGCACATTTGAATGAGATATCCAATATTCTCTCTTGAAAAGTCCATGATCTAGTACAAAGTATCGGAAGTAAATATTGAAAGTGCTTACGATTTTTAAATATGAGAAAATATTTTTCTGTGTAACAAACACTAAAATTTCTTGAAACAGAATACGAAGAAAGCAATACAAATACGCTTCGCAGGAAGTGTTTGGAATTGTATGCATTGCAAAACTTATACACATTTTGAAATATGACAAATATTCATAAAGTGATTGAATTATGATTATTTTTTTCATTTTTTGCTTTTCAGATTTATATTTAAATTCTAAGAGATAAAAAAATAATTGCGATTTTTTGTATGGGAGGGGGTTCTATTATATCTAAATAATATTTTAAAACATATAATGAAAATTAAAATTTCTTAAGGACTCCTTTAAAATTATTTCAAGTGTTAAGTGTACGGCTGTGTTTGACTTTCCAGTAATGTCTCCTTAAAAATACTTTATATTAAAATGCATTAGTTTAAAGTATGTTGACACCGGTTCTATGCTGAAAATGTTGCTTTACGCTAAAAAAATGATTTGAGTGAAAAGAAAAAACTTTTGGTAATCTCTTATCTTCTAATATGCTACTACAAAATTTATTTACCTTTTAATAAAGAAAGAAATATCAGAATCATCTGTATAAAGTATTTAATATCTTCATGTTTAAAAGTTGTATCGATTCTTACTTATAGAAACATCTTTGCTGTCAGGAACTATGCATTCTTTATTTTTAAAAAATTGTGATACCTTACACAATTTTAAATTATTGAAACTATTTGACATCAAAAATATTCTTATAAATTTTTCATTCAAACTAAGTTGGCTGATATTGCATTGAAATTTACATTTAAAAAAATGTAAATAATTTTTTACTGAAATAGAATACAATGATTTTCTCAAACATTTAAAAAAGCATATATTGGTCCAACCATGTGTGATGATTTTCATCTATTGTGCTTAAAATCAAAAAAATATTGGTCTTATCATATTGCCACAAAGAAAAGATTCTAATATTTCCCTTTTTAAAGTTTATTTTAAATAAGCAAAGTTTCAAAGACAAACTCACCTTTATCTTCTTTTAAAATGTCTGACAACCTAAAAATAGAGGATTTAATCACAAAAAATGTTTATTAGGTTTATAAATGTACTAATTTTTTTTCTTTAAATAGTTCAAAAATTATAAATGTTTTTTAAAAGTGGATGTCACCTATAATATTCAGTTTTTGAATTTCAAAAGTGTTTGACGCCAAATGAGGTTTCTTTTATGAAAATGTGAAATAGAGAAAGGATTGCAGCAAGATAATGTTTGTGCTTTGTTTCATGTAATATTAAAATTGAAAGGCTATATTTAAAAAAATTACCGCATTATTATAAAAAAATTATATACTAACTACTTATATAAGCTTTATAAGTGTTCTTTTAACCGATTTCATATAGCAGGAAAAAATGTCATATTTGTTTATAGAAATTAAAATATTTATCCTTTAGGTCATTTAAATGTGAATAATATCGTAACATAAGTGTTTGAAAATGAAAGATTCCTTTATAAACCTTTTGTTCAGATTTGGCCACGTTTATATAATTTTTAATACATTTTCAGCAGTATTTTTTTTTTTAATATATAGAAATGTTTTTTTTTTACCTTTTTAATATTTTCTTTCTTATACCTGTAAACCATAAACAAAAAAATCCGCATATTTCATTTTAAAATACCTACAAAATAATTCTAACACAAACACTTGACGAGATAATTTTTCAAGAAACTTCAAATAATTTATGTAAAGCAACTTTAGATTTTATCCGAAGGGATTCTAATTTCTTATTATCTTGAAAAACAACTCGAATATGTTTCCACTTCAGTTTGCTTGCTACGTACAACTTGCACAGGCCTCGCATTGTAGTCGAGTTTCTACAGTAGGCTGCAATGCTCCCGTGGCAATTTGTTCATTCAAAAAAATAAAGATCCCCTCTTTAAAAGTGCTGTTTCAATGTCGCAGGCATGTTTTTCCTGTTCAAGAGTAAAATAATAAGACATTGCACTCAAGTTATAGTGCCTTTTTCGTCACGTAAGGTGAGGGTGTTATCTATTATAGAATAATAACTAAGCTCTCGAAATTTGGGTACCTTAGCATCTTCTGTTTTCAAAAGAAATTTAGAAGGCTAGATTCAGGGAAAAATATCATGTAGGCTAGGAAATAAATGGAAACGCCATTAGTGTTGGTTTGAACGCCATTGTAGTGGTTTCCACTTTTTTGTTCCAGTCTAGTGTTATCAATTCTCGTACTATTAATGCCAGTCGAATCCATTCGACGTTTTTAGCGTGAAAATCACGTTAATGACTAACAAGTAACAGAAAAAATTTTTTAAATCAATTACTGCTTAAGTCAAGAGAAAAAATATATATTTTAGTTACTTTTTATTAACTAATTACAATTAATATAAATATGTATATACATATGACAGAATCACAATATTAAGTGGCAAAATAGGAAGTGATTTTCCTTGCAATTTTCCATTCTATATATGTGGTGCTGGACTATTATTTTTGTTTGTTACTATTTATTCATTAGTTAAATTTAACTATTCAGATAAAATTGTATATTAAAAGGAAATCAAATTCTCAGAAATTAGGTATTTCCAGGTGGTATTCGAACCCACGACCTTTGGATTAGAAGTCCAAGGTGTAACCCAATGCGCTACAGAGACACAACGACTGATTTTCCTTTTTATATATGGTGTTGGACTATTATTTTTGTAACTATTTATTCATTACTTACATTTAATTAATGAATTAATATTTCAAAAAAAAAACTGTATTAACATCAAGTGTCATCCACTACAAGTTTTAAAAAATTTTTTGAGCTTGAGTGAATGAACAAAAAACATTTTATTAACGATTGAAAATTTGAATAAGATATATATACAAAGGGAGCGCGTGAACTAATAGTAGGAATTGAAAAATAATTGTGTCATCGAAAGTTTCAGAAACTTTTTCTCTGTCAACATAATTGTAAGAGCTAGACTATTTTTTTCACATCATTCTTGAGAGTTTTTACCTTATAATATCTGCATTTAAAGGGTAATTTCAATCCTTAGTATGTAACGATGGCTTAGGGAACACGTTAATCTGCAAAGCGTTTTTATAAACACTCTGTATTCGCACAATTTGCTTCTTATAAAAGAAAACAAAATAAAAGCATTTTAAAATCCCTTTACTTCGAATCCCAAAGATTGATATTCTATAGACAATTTTCCATTTTATTCTGAGACCTGAGTTTGTGGCGTTCAATAACTGTTCTAACAAAATTACCGATATTTGCAGTCACTGAAGAAAAAAATATTGCTGTCTTCTTTTTTCCATGATAAGTTTTGTTTCTTTTTTAATACATAAAAAACTTTTTTTGTGGAAAAAGATTAAAATCCATTGTAGCCAAGAGCATCAAATACCAACGTCATCCATCTTCTTGAATTTCTTCTTTGATATCTATCGTTCCTCAAAAAGAAACCCTTAACTGGAAAAAAAAATTGTGACTTCTTTCCTCAGTCACCTAGATTTATGTCGGAAAAGTATGAATAATCACATATGAAAATCTACGACACTATAAATCATAAAGTAATTACAAAAATTTGCTTTGACATGTGAAGGATATTTAAATGGTTTTACTGATCTATGATATTTCACGCGAATTTTCTCTGTAGATTCTGTTGCTGCTCATTTGGCAGTGCAACAAATTTATGAAGTAATAATATTTCTCGCTGTAAGAAGCAGAAAAAGAGAATTGTGATAATCAGAATTTTGTCAAGACTTTGTGACGGTCTTCAGATAGATTATTACTGGAAACAATTTTCGTTATTTATTTACCTTGGACATTATTTTATTTCGAAGATTCTACGAATATTTCACCGTTCTTAGAATCTAATAAAATAAACAAATAAAACAGCTTATTTTAGCAAAAACTAACAACAAATTAACTTAATTTAGATATTATTTCTACGGTATATACGCTAAGATATACGATTAGATGAAATTATTTTAAAGGTAAGGTGAGTTTTTATATATTTGCACATGAATTTGTGAAAATCTATTTAAGAATTGATGTGCTCAATTTAAACTATGAGATATTAAGAATCTATAAATACTTTATGAGACAGAGTTATAATCTATGGAAAAAATATTTTTTTCCTGTCTTAAAATTATCTGCTTTATGACGAACATTGCTTTTTCCACCGAATATTGCAAAAAGATAAAAATTTGAAGCAATATATCACTAAAGCTAATCATAAGATAAATTGGCATCATTTTAGGCTCTTACAATTAATATATATTTATCGAAACAGGTGATAGTAAAACTAAAAAAAATTACTGACAAACATCCTTATTAACAAGACGAGTGAGAATTTAAATAATTTACAGTGAAATAAAAAGAGAAACGAGCCTTGCAGTAGTCGTATATGATGTGTAACACCTGACATGTTATCTTAGTAAATACGCAATAGTAACTTATATCCTGAAAAAAATGAATTGGGTATGATTGGAAATAATTTTCTATCGAAAAATTGTATCTTTAATGAAAATTTTATTTAATTAACACAAGGAGTAATGCACTTTTTTTTATCAAAAATAATTATTATTGATCAATTTGGGGAAGAGCGCAGACAAAAGACTTATGATAACTAAAATATGACACATATACTTGTGATTTCAAAGTATTTAGAAACCGTTGAAAAACAGCGTCACTAGCATTACCACTGTTAGCTGTCGAAACATTTTGATTTGTGTTCATTTCGAGCTTGAATTCATCATTCAAAAAAGCTATGAGCGACTGAGTTTGGCAAACTGAAGTTAAAATCACCCCTCAAAATCATGGGAAGCGAGTGATAGTTTTCTTTAAAAGAACTGAACCATCTTCGGTAAATCACTGTTTGTCCGTTTTCAAATAAGCATTCTGCCGCACATATGTCCTTCAGTATCGTTTGACTGTTCTTGTTTGACGATAAGTAATGTTCATATGAGGAGTCACAACATGTGAGTTTTTCTGTTTGCGATAAATCGCAACACCAGCTGTTCTGCGGCCCGGTCGCTTAAGCTGTACGCAGCAATCGAAGTTAGGTACCGAAACACGTTCGTCATTATCTAACCATGTCTCTGACAACATGAGTAACGAACATTTTTATGAAATAACGTCGTCGAAATCTGTTTGGTGACCCCTTTGACAGTTGAGCGTAAGAATCGAAGTTTATCTTGGGTGAAATCTAAGACTTGTGCTGGTATGTGCGAAGTGGATTTAGAGTATCATTGGGTGGATGACCAGAGCATCTAGTTCTTCCAAGCTATAACCTCTTATCTTTAGGATTTTGAGTGACTGTGACGAATTCACTCTTCCCCTTTGTTAATAAAAAAATACTTAAAAAGTAAAATATACTTATATGAGAATAAAAAATTGAAATTTAAAACTACTAAAATGCATTAAGTGTTAGAAAAATATCTTCAAAAACGGTGCAAAACACTGAGAATGAAAACAAATTTCGATCAGTGGGTGAGCGAGGTGAGGCCTGACCAATGAAAATGCAGCTTAGAACTCAGTCGTTGTAGAAATGAGAGAAACACTGAATGATTTGAAATAAGAAAAACAGCTTTTTTAAAATCTAATAAAAAATAAAATACATTTTGAAAAAAATAGTAAAGAACGTGTAAATTTAAATTTGATATGGATAAATAATTTTCCAGGGAAAATTAAAGTGATTTAAAGTAAATTTGAAAGTAGCGAGTTCCTGGGAATCGAACCTGGGGCGATTCACTTCAAGTCAGTTGCAATAACCATTAGGCTACGAAGCCTCGGTAGGGATTTAAAGTAAGCTTTCAAGTTGGGTGAGAAGAGTGAAATGAATTTAATTAAGAATTTTAATTGAAGCGATGATCCGAAAGAATATTATTGGGTCTGTGAAAAAATTAGGATCAGGGATATATTTTTTAATATACAAGATCGAAGGATTATTAGAGTTATCAATTTTTTGAAAGAAGTTAGTTGCTAATTTTTTGATAAATTGTCTGATAGACATCATTTGCTCGCGGATCTGAGGTCCTTATTCCTCATGAACCATCGAGCTTTTAATATTTGTCGGAGAATAATGCTTTGAGAAACTTCTATTTGATTAATATGAATTTTAGCTGCATGTGCCCAGATTGGCGTGGCATACTGGTTAAAACTGGTCTTAGGATTAGTGTGTAGATAAGTAATTTATTTTCTCTGCTCTAATATAGAGATTCTTGCAATTAAGGGGTAGATTTTACAGACCGATTGTAAATTTAGAGTCAAGTGCTCGAGTGCGTGATGGCTACTAGAGCTGTACCCCGATGCGTTGTACACCAACCACCACGCACTCTCATTGGTCAAATCAAATAGCGCACGCTTACGTCACTTCCTGTTACACACATCCGTCCCTTTTCACGAAATCATTCCAACAAATATCCAGCAAGCAAGAGGAAAAATGTTACACATCAATAAAAAATAAAATAATCTCTTCGATGTACGGTAAAACCATTAGTGCATAAATTTATGTAACATGAAATATCACCATGAGCACCTTCAACAAAGAAAATTTAAAATTAGTACTGCAGCAAATACAATGAAACTACAGCACTTTTATCGGTTAGAAATTGGAACATGTGTGTATGAAAAGGAATTTGTGGCCCTCAAATTACACCGGGTAAAAACACACTATTGGCCATCGTAAATATAACACCATGCAGGTAACTTTCAAGAAGTTGCAGTGCACAGGCTAATCTTATGCAGTTTGGCATGATGTGTTTTTTGACGAATTATGATTCTACCTACGACAATACGATGGTCGTATATGAGTCCGGGAGCCCTTCAACGATAGATTGCATGATTCTTTCTTTATGCACTACCATACTGGTCCTCCACCTGTTGTTACGGTTTAAATTGTTATTTGAATCATGTTCCTCTATAACACACATTACCAGTACAATTAACTATCATTGCTAAGTCTTTAAAGTTTAGGTGTCTGTTGTCATCTCTTACTTTCAAAGTTTGTTACAACCAAGATTAAACACATGTAGTTTTTCATTGCTCATCAGATTACACTGCTGCTTTGTTCTCTTAATCTATTATCCATAGGATACATGAAGCAGATGATTGTCAAACAACTTTCCCAGCATATACCACCTGCTATTACCGATGTATGGAAGCAACATTAACTGGTATACTTTACAAACATATGTGCGGTTTTTATCTTTAAATGCCGAGGTGTGTCACAATAGTTATCATTCAAAAAACAAATCCCAAAATATGAATATCTTCTTTTCCGAAATTCGAAAGATACTGCTATTTAAATCATTACAATCTTGCATTTGTGTTATTTATCTAAGATATTGGACTTAATTTCTTTTGTTTCATGGTGTTGCATTTTGGATGGCCAACAGTGTATGCACTAAATATGTAAAAGAAATAATATTATTCAGAACAGATATTTTTAGCCTGACAGGTGGTAAAAAGGAGTAAGTCTGATAAAATATATGAAGTACAAATAAGAAATATTGTATAAAGAGTTGGTATATACTTGACACAGTAATTTATTTTTATAAAAACGTATATCAAATAATTTATATTTATATGTTGAAAAGTAAATTGAAAATAATTTTTTGAATTCTTGTAAAGAAATTCTCACTTCCTCATAATTGGCA